AGAGAGAGAGAGAGAGAGAGAGAGAGAGAGAGAGAGAGAGACAGAGAGAGACAGAGAAAGAGAGAGAAGCTACTTAAAGCAAGAAAGTTGAGCCCCACAGTCACACCAATTTGGCTTCATGGACACAGAAGTGGGACTTTTATCAGGAAAAGCTATCTGTCTTGTTGCTGAAAGCAGTGGTTCTCAATCTTAAGAATGCTGTATCAGAAACCTGGAGGTCTTGTTAAAACAAAAATTGCTGGGCCCCAACCACACCTTGTTTAATTCAGTAGGTCTGGGGCAGGGCCTGAGAATGTACATTTCTAATAAGTTCCCAAGCTGATTCTACTGGTCTGGGGACTACACTTCGAGAACTAGTTCCTAGTGAATTTGTTTAGAAGTAGTTGTATTTTATGCTGTTCAGAGGTTCACATTACCACCATTTTCTGTTTGCTCCTCTCCTTCCATTCCCCATATACTAATCTTATTGGAATTCTTTGAGGCGAAATGGGATAATCTAAGGAAGAAAAACAGCTATTTCTAAGAACTCACCACCAGATGGCACTAGAGCCCCATAAACGTTGCTTCCTTAATAGTCAAACCTTCTAGCCACAGATTACAAAGCAGTAACTAAGGATCAGGCTCCTACAAGCTCCTGGAACATATGTATGCTCTAATCTGTTCTTTTCATTTTCAACTAAAACCCCAGTAGGATGGGAAGACTTGAGATGCTCTGCTTGTAAAATTTCTTTCTTTCTTTTTTTTTTTTGTTCCAAAATTAGTTCTTGTACTTACACCATGCTTGAGACGGTGTATTAAAGGCAGGCACAGAAAACTTGAATTTGTGGTCTGCTTTCCTTGACTTAGTGTTCCATGGTCCTCTGGACACGAAAGACGCAAAAACCATCAGTGAAGGAGTGACATAGCTTCTGTGGTGTGAAGAGGAAGCTCCCAGAGTAGCCAGGCTGCAGTCCTGTGCTCCAAATGTCAAAGTTATTAACTGTGAAATGATAGAGGATAATGTAGGTTATTCTGAATAGGTCCATCCAAGTCCTCAAGTCCCTTAGCTGTTCCTGGAAGCCTCCAGCCTAAGCAAGACAGGACAACATTCAGAATGGCCTCTCCTAGATTCATCCCCCAACACAGATAGTATCACTGTGTAACTGCTTCTGTATGGTTGTATGTATGCACATTCAAATGTAGTATTTAAATAACGTTATTGATAGATATAAGGTATGTTGAAAATTTAGAAAATTAAAAAAAAAACCACTTAGAAGAAGACAAAAATCACGCATCGTCCCCCTGCTCAGATAACTTCTATTAACATATTGGATCCATATTCTAACTGCCTTTTCTCCCAAGCAGGTTTTGTATACATCTACACATGTATATATTTATTTTTAAACCTCATATTGGAACCATACATTACATACTGTATTTGTAACATACTCTTTTCACCTCGTGGTAAAAAAAAAGAATATTTCCCATTTCATTAAACATTCTTCTAAAATATGGTTTTTAATGGCTGAGTGGTATTCCATCTCACGGTGTGTCACAATTTATTTGACGCCTTTATTGCATTAAAAGCAAGAATTGGCAGTCAGTGTTTGTGCACAGGTATTCAATAAGAACTTGGCTAGATGGAGTGGCCTGTGTTTCAGCTCGAGATACTGAGCAGGGAAGTGTCTGTGGAACAGGCACCGGCTTTTCATTTGACCATACAAATGGAGTAAGAGAATACCAAGTTCTCCTTCCACTCTGCTTCAGGGGCAGAGCCGTGGAGGCCAGCGTCATCACTCTTCCGTCTGGGTCCCTGTGTTCCCAGGATCAGCGAAGGGGAAGGATGAAACACGCTAAAAGAATCCTGATATTTACACTATACTTTTTCTGCCGTGATGGGAGCGGGGGCACCCAATATTTGGGAGTTCAAGCTCATGGTCTGGGAAAATGGGAGATTAGCTGGTCTTTGAGATGGAGCTATGTTCTTATCGGAGAGACATTCTGGATGGTTGCTGTGGCTAATGCTTTGTTTTTCATATGCCACAGCTCCGTGCCCACTGAAGGGACAGAAGAAGGATCTGGGGTGGTCCAGGTGACAACGCAGACACTACAGAGAACAAGTCCACCTTTAGGAGGACACTTTCGCATCCAACTTTCTAATACAGTGATTCCTGGTAAAGGGGCAACTGAGGGGTACAACATTTCTCATCTACATTTTTAAGGGGCATTTCCAGGCAAGCAACATCCTGTGAGATTGTCAGGCAGGGAGACCACCTGAAAGCTTTTTTATTCCCCCATGTCTGAAAATGACCTTATTAAAATGAAAGATCTGGACAATAGCAATAACATATCATTGTTAATATGATCCCAACCTTTACGTGTTTAGATGTGGAAACTAAGTGCGTTAGCTTACTATGGCTGTCAAGACAAGTGACCACAAACTTGGTGGCTTAAAACAACAGACATTTATTCTCAAACAGTCTAGAGGCCAGAAGTCCAAAATCAAGTTCTCAGCAGGGCCACACTTCCTCTGAAGGGCCATGGGGAAAATCCGTTTCCTGCTTCTTCTGGCATCTGGTGGCTGCCAGCATTCCTTGGCTATGGCCACATCACTCCAGCCCCTGCCTCCATGGTCATATTGTCACTTCCTCTTCTGTCTCAGAACTCTTTCTGCCCCTCTCATAAGGATGCATATGATTGCATTTAGGGCCCACCTGGATAAAGTCCTTTTCTCAAAATCCTTAACCACATCTTTTGCTATATATAAGGTAATACCTGGGGTGCCAAAAAAATGTATACAAGTGGACACTTTGGTCAACGTTGCTCAAGCAGTAGTTCACCATAAGCAGAAGTGTCTGGATGCTGATGGTAACCACTTTGAGCACCTTGTAATTGCAGAAGTCAAACGTGACTTGTATTCATCTTTTGTCATTGGTATATATTGAGTATTATAATTTTAATAGTTTTGTTTTTTAAAGTGTGTATGTATTTTTTTTTGGTACACTCTGCATTCATAGATTCCAGGGATTAGGGCATTGGCATCTTTTTGAGGGCCACCATTCAGCCCACTATACTGAGATTTGCCCAAAGGTCATAAAGATAGTTGATGGCGAAGTCCAGATGTGGCCTCGGGTCTTTATTCTCAGGTCAGTCCTCTTCTGTCTAGAGGAGGTCAAGATCCATGATAGCCGTGGTTCTTCTGAATTAAACTTCATGGTGACACTCTATATTATTGAGGATTTTAGTGGTCATAACAAATGTAGAAAGAGCTTTTGGATGCCATGAGAGTAGAATAGTTCTAAATCTTCAATACCATACTCATTTCACAAAGGACAAGGAATAGAAGTGATCTGCTGAGCTGCCAACATGTGGCAGGATGGCTCAGCTAAAAAAAAAAAAAAAGAAGTGATTACAATATGTTATGTAGTTGGTAAAAACAGGGGAATCAGAGAGGAGGCTCAGGAGAACTCAAGAGTAGCTGTATAAAAATTGGTGCATGGTCCAAAAGTGTTCTGCTCTCTCAAGCAGAAAGATGCTGGACTTGCAAAGAATCTTCTTGTGAGAGGAATTAGAGTGGTGTTTTTACCTAAAAGGGCATCTTAGGAAAAGTTGAAGATCTGTAGGCTATTGGAGTCTATTGCTCTTCAAGTCTGACAAATGGGTGAATAAATGCCAACAGTACCCTGCCTCTGTCAAGTGCATCACTGTGCTGTTTTCCTTGGCACGAATGAGAGGGCAGCCTGTAGAGACTGTCTGCCACCATCTACTATTGTTGATGCGCCTCACATTAGCACCTGCAGAGTAATGGAGGGCATGGGTAGGGGAACACAGTCTTAACCAGTGGTTAATGAAGTGGTGATGACTCCAAATTATGCAAATATAGAACAATCTTTTTGAAAAGGATGAGACTTTTTTGCATTTTGGAAATACAGAGTTATTTTATTAATGCTCCAAGGGAGTATGAGATTCAAGAAGGAAGGCTCTTGAGTAGGTAGAAGGCGAAGAAGGCGACCTGGATCTTAATCTAAACCTGTCTCCCTTGGTTGGCAAGCTTCTGAAACTCATTGGGTTTCATTTTCTTCATCGCTAAGGGAGGCATCAGGATGCCCAAATGACCCACCTCACAGGGCTGTTGGGAGTAGCTAATGAAATGGAAACTTTTGGTAAAGCGTGAAACAGTTCAAACACAAGCACGACTTAAGCAGAATGTTGTTATTTCCCTATGGGAATGTGGAATTGGGAAGCAGGTGGTTGGGCTTAAAGGAAATTCTAATAGAGAAATCGAAATGCCAACATTCCTCAGCTGAGTTGGCTAAATTTTTATGGGTGTCAGCTGCTGTGTGCCTCCCCAATTCCTGTGAAAGGGGGCCAACTTTTCTCTGTTCACAGACCCAGTTAAATTTTCCAGGGAAAACCCAACATTTAATTAGACTTTCAGGGCCTTACCAGGGTGTCTGGTGTTTATATTTTGAGTCGACAGTTGAGACAGTTTTGTTTGATGTGACTGTGTTCTCTGCTTGCTATGATATGTGATACTAATAAAAGATATCACAACATAAAAAGTGGGCATCGACTTGTATTTGCCTTAGGAAAACAAATGGTTTAACTGGGGTGGGGGTTCTCTTGAAACCATATTTAGAACTTGAGGGTTTCCTGCATATTTAGTAGGTATCTTGACATTTATTCCGTTATCTTCATGATGAGACCCTGTGAGGTGGAGTAATTAGTGTTGTATTTTCTATATCAAAACCTTCTCCCACAGATGTCCCTGTGCATATTTCAGCTAGTCACCTTCGCGAGCTCTTACAGAACAATGCTGATGACTTCACATCCAGGTACCTCAATGTCAGTGACTTCACTGTGACGGAGGATCTAAAGTCTTGCTATGAACATGTGTGGACCATCTCCTGGTCCACCCAGGTTGGGGATTTGCCCAATTTCATTAGGGTATGTATAATATTCTTTTTGGTGGTATGGATTGTGCCTGGGAATAATTTTATAAAAAAAAAATCAGAATGATATGAATGAAAACTGTCATGAATGAATAATTTTGTAGGAATATTCAAGTAAAAGGGTTTAATGACCTTTCTGGAAGTTTTCAAGACATTTTTGGATTTCTTATTCCTGATAAGCAATTTGAACCCAGCAGAGAAGTTGTTGGTCAGTGTCCACCACACAATAATTCTACATCTGTTATTGGATAATTCAAGCAGATGTGGTTGACTTAGATTGTCATGGAGGCAGATGGCACAGCAGAAGGAAGTTTAGAAAAGGATTTGCTGTCTTTAGATAATGACAAAACCAGATGCTTTTGCATATTTAGGGTTTTAAAAAATAATCTAATGATCACATAGCATTTTGGTTGTTATAAAATGACATCCAAGATGGAATTTGATCCTTGTTATTTGGTATAGTGAGTCATCTGGTTTTCAAACAAAATATTAATGCATGGGTGGAAATGGAGGAAGGATGGGACTCACCTCATAGCACTTGTTTCCTTACATTTTATTTTAATATTTTGGACTGGAAACATATAAAATAGAAAAACACATAGAAACCAAAATATATCAAGACTTAGAGAGAAGAATGAATTTTTTTGGTGCTTTTTCGGGCAACTCTACTTGCAAATAAACATTCCTCTAAAATCTGGGGCTTTCATTAGTCATGACTTACGTTAGGTTTCTAGATTTTAATCCCCTCTCACTCCATTTTCACTTTCTACCTACCTGATTATCTTAAACAGAATGTGAAAAGACCCTTTATCGTTTGTTTTAATCAAGATTAGACTTCTATTCCATGGCAAAAATTCACTTCAAATGTAATCAACTCAGGTGTCTGATGAAAATCTAACTGGAGTGAACCCTGCTGCAACCATTCGGGTGGTATATGATGGTGGAGTTTTTCTTGCACCCATATTTGGAGACATGTTGGCTACTGCCAACCAGCACACTCAGGTGAGAGTGAATGGGCCAGCCAAAATGTAAGTATTCGTTTCTAATCTATCTCAGTCCCTTCCTGATTTATAATGTGGACCAATTCCAAGGATCAATTTTCCAATCCATAAAATAGAGACCATTATAACTGTCCCCTTGGAAAGTACTCTGAATATACAAGTGCTCTGGAAACATAACATCCTGTTACTACAATTAATGATGCTATTATTATGGCATTAAAAATAGAAAACCTCTATAACTACATATGATTTATTGAAAAGTAAACAAGCTCCTTTTCCCTTTAAAATGTCTTGCTCTTTCCCTTCTACCCATACTCCTGTAATAAGTCATCTGCTTTTAATTTGAGAAAAATTTAAAATAAAAATCTGTAAAGAATAATATAACTAACTCCAGGGTACATAAACTGAGGATGAACAGTTGTCAACATTTTGATATATTTTATATTTTTTGTCTTTATGAATAAAATAAAACATTATAGGTAAAATCAAAGTGTTCTTTATCACTTATGCTTCATGCCATCCCTATACCTCTTTACTGTATAAGCAAACACTATCATAAGTATAGTGTGAGTGCTTTTAATCTATATTTCATATGGAGAGAGTCAAAAGAGTCACACTCTTTTCACCTTTCTCATCTCCAAGTATGGCAGAGTCCTATTAGATTAACATTAGTTCCAGTGAGAGGAAAAGATGTGTATAGTTGATCTTTGAACAACATGAGGGTGAGGGGCACTGACCCTCCTCACAGTCCAAAATTTGTGTGTAACTTTTGACTCCCCAAATCTTAACTACTAGTAGCCTACTGTTGACTGGAGGCCTTACCAATAATATAACCAGTCAATTAAGACATATTTTGTATATTATGTGTATTATATACTGTATTCTTATAATAAAGTAAGCTAGAGAAAATAAATATTATTAAGAAAATCATAAGGAAAAAAGTACATTTATAGTATTTATTGAAAAAATTCCACATATAAGTGGACCCGTGTGGTTCAAATGCACGTTGTTCAAAGGTCAACTGTAGTCTCTTCCTGGGGACCTGCCATTCTAGGATAGAAAAGGCCCCAAACCAACTGTCCAAATACTCTAATCTTCAGTTATATATCCATATAGTAATGATGGAACAAGGTGCCTACTTTATTGGCATTTACCAGCAAAGAAATGGCTTTTCATAGGAAATAGATACCTAGTTAAAAATATAGAGTGATAAAAAGTCCTTGTGCAATTTGAATTTTATTACATTTAGTTTTACATGACAGAGAAGAAATTTATTCAAGATTTAACACATTTAATTGCAGAAATGTTAGGTTTTAGCATGCCTACCATCATTTTAAGACAGCTTAATATGTTTCGAGCCATTCATTACAATTTGGGGTTTATTACTGGGAAATAGAAAAAAGAAAATAAATGAATCATTAACACATTTTAATTTGGCCAAATTTCACAAATACTTTATGAATACTCTTGAGTACCTGAAATGCATACATTTGCTTGTAATTCTTTTGCCTTTTTTTCAGGTGGTTGTGCGAGTGAATGACATACCAGCTCAGTGCTCAGGGTCCTGTTCTTTCCAGTACCTTGAAGGGTCAACTCCCTGGGTCCACTCTGTGTGGTATTCCCTTGGTATGATTCATGATGTGGCATTGAGATGATCATGAACTTTAGACTCAGAGAGATTTGTTAGCCGTGTACCTGGTAATGGGTGGATAGAAGGTGAATCAGTTCATAGGATGGATGTTGAGTGATGCAGCAGAAAAACACATTTTTTGGCCAGTCTAAATGATATGGTCATGATTTGAAATGAAGACAAGTAGATTTTTGATGACTTAAAAATGTTTTATTCTCTTTGTCCCTTGCTTTGAAATATTCTTTATTTTGATTTCCCCCCCCTTTTTTATAGACTAGTGATCTCTCATTACTAGCTTGAGAAAATTTAAGATGCATGCTGTATGCTACAATAATATAATAAATGCTGATATCCAATATTTGAGTCAGCATTCAACTTCTTGAATTTCAGGAGGGGAAGGTAGGAGAGAATGAACAGTTGATATTAGAGAGCGTTCTCTTAAATGGAGTGATATCACCGAGAGATGATTTTGTTCTTTTAATTTCTTTCCTTCTTTAAGATGGCGACATTAACCTACTGGTTCACATTACTGGAACTAGTTTCTCTGGTGACTCCCAGGCCTTTCAGATTACTGTGAACAAAACAAGTTGCAAAGTTATTTTCTCAAACCAAACGAATGTGGTCTGTCAAACCAACCTACTGCCTGTCGGAGTGCATCAGATCTCCATGTTGGTGAGACCTTCTGGTTACGCCATCAGTGCCAGTGGAGAAGGCCTCTTCCTAAACGTGGAACCCAGACTGGATGCTGTGGACCCTTCGAGAGCTGCAGAGATTGGTAATCTGGGAAGGGACCCCACATTACACCTGACCCTCTGAAGGTGGCATTCTTGCCGGTATACAGGAATCTAGTCCTGCTGTGTAATAAGTTCTATGTCCACTATGACTCACAAGTTTTTTGTTTTCTGTCACCAGTATTTCTTCTAATGAGCAACAGATATTGAGCCCTTCAATGAACTCACTTACTACATATCGGTAGCTTGCTGATGGTATTGGCATAATTGGGTCAGTCACTGAGTCACTGGGACAATTTGGTCTACTGAAAACAACACTAGATTGGGCCTTAGGACATATGTGCTTGGGTTTTCATCCTGCCAAGGTCAGATGTATGACCTTAGACATTTCAGTTACTTCTATGGGACTTGGTATCCTAATAATGATGATAGGCATAGTGTCATTTATTGAGTATCTCTTCTAGGTAGTCACATACCCTAAATTCTTACAGCTGCCTGAAAAATAGAATTATTACCCACATTTTTCAGAGGAGATAACGGTGATTCTAAACCGCCCCCTCCCACCTCCCTCATTGAACCACCCTGTATGAAGCCCTGTATTAGGTGCTGAAGACCTTGGCTTTCAAAGTGTGGCTCTGGGCTAGCAGTATCTGCATCATCTGGGAGCTTGTTAGAAAAGGAGAGTCTCAGGCTCCATCCCAGGCTTCCTAAACAATCTGCATTTTAACAGGATCCTCAGGCAACTTCTATGAATAGTGCAATTTAAGTAACACTGCAGTAGGGGAGGCAAAGAGAACCACGCTGAGCCCTACCAGCAAAGAATTTTCAGAATAATCTAGCATGTAATAAATACATATAAGAATGTGATAAATAATATTCTAAAGCATCACTTAACAATGTGCAGAAACACCCTCAAAAGGGTTTTTAAGGAAAATATTGGCTTTGGAGTATACACTTCCTTGGCCCATTTCTGTGCTGAGATAGAGTTGCCTTCTCTTTAGGTATGGACACTTACCTGGGAGACACTTGAACCATCGAATGCAAATGGCACAGTGTCACCACCTTTGCAACTTTGAATTATTAACATCAGCAATAGTAATAACAATTTGCTTAGCCCTTAGTATGTACCAGGCACTATTAATGCTGGAGATAGAGTCAATTAAAGCAAAGTTCCTGCTCTCATGGAGGTGATGGTAGTGGGTAAGAGAAAAACGAAGCAGAGGAAGAGTGATGGAGGGGGTGGTGGTTGTGGTAGGATGGACACTGGCACTGGAGGAATGACACAGATGACACTGGTGAGTGAAGACATGGATGAAGTGGAGGAATGAGTCCTGAGAAGAGAGTTTTAGGCAGGGAGAACATCAAGCGATAAAGTCTTAAGTCAGAATGACCTTGGCTTGTTCCAAGTACACCAAGGAGGTCACAAATGGCCATTTGTATATCTTAAGCCAACTCTTAACCAACTGAGTCATTCGGTTGGCCCCTATTATTACATTTTAATTGTAGTTGTTTTTATAGGACGTTTTAATATCTGACAGAAGGTCCTTTTACTTTTGAGGTTTTATATCCTTGTTATTATTTTTCATTTTTTATTGAATTTTAAAATCTTCTTGTCTAATTTAAACAGAAAATCTTATTTGTATTTTTATTGGGATTGCATTGATGATTTAGTTCAATTTAGAAAGATATGCCACCATTCTGATGTTCACTCTTTCTACCCATTTATTTTCGTTTTTTTGTTTAATGTTTTAATCCATCTGTTTGGGTCCTCAGTAGCATTTCAAACTTTTCTTCAAATTTCTTCCTTCGCTTGAATTTTTCTTATCAAGATTGTTGCCAGGTTTTGTATCTTTTATGTTGGTATTTACATTTTTTTCTTCCATTTTATTCTCTAACTTTGAAGTCTAGTGTAGTCTTTCCTTGACTCTTCAGGGCAAGTTTATGTATTGAACTTCAGGATATTATTTCAGCCAGTAACTTTCTCCCGAAGGGTTTTCATCTGGTTGTGTAAGTTTCCCTTTCGCATCCTGACATGCTTTGTGAAGATAACCTTGTTCCTGCTCCCACTTCCCACTCTCAAGGGGTACATGTTCCCATTTGGTGGCTTCATTGCCTCTCTTGTATCCCATTCTGTGGAGATGGCACACCATAATCATTGCCCTATGTAATAATAAGTGGAATTGCTGTTCATCTGTTAGACCAAGGGCTGCTCCTCCAAATGGGAAAGTGTGGCATGGCATCTGTATGATTGGTTCTATGCCTCTTCTTACAGATGTCTGCAGTGAGGGGATAGGGGTTTCATTGGTTGCTCTTCAGTGGTCAGTAGAGAAAGGCTGATCGTAGTGGGTTCTGATGTAAGTCATTTCTGCACCACCATGGAGACTAGAACCCAGTATGTGTGGTATCAAATGACAAAGCTGGAAGGGCTAAGGCTGTCATTGCAAGACGAGGGAAGTGAGAACCAGTGAACTCAGGAGCAATACTACACATGATGTGCTTCAAGTGGCAGAGCAACCTGTGGCCCTGATTCTGGGTCCACTGCTCTTTCTACCATGATGCCCTCTTATACTTAAAATATCAGGAAAATAATAAATTTTGTAGGATTGGCAAGGATGATGTATAAAACTGTAGGGCAGGAAGAGTTTTCAGAAACCACCTACTTTACTTCTCTGTCCTGTGGCAGTATTGTGTCTCTGCTATATTCTTAAATATCTCCAGGATTCATTACTATTTTCCTCTGCCCTCTAGTCACCACTTCTTTCTTTTTAACTTCAGTCTTTCTGCAGTTTCAGCATGCCTTGTGTTTTGACTAAAGAACTTCATATTTTAACTTCATTTTATCTCTTTGTGAAAATTAATTTTTGTCTGCATGTATGGCTATATATCTCACCTGAAAATACTGTTTTTATTACAGGAGGGCTCTGGGCCACCATCCAGGGCTCTAGTTTGGAAGATGTTAGCCAGGTGTTATTTGGATCTCAGTCTTGTGCCATCAATGTCACCATAAGCAATTCACGAAGAATTCAATGCAAAGTTCCACCCAGGGTAAGTGGAATCCTTTGGCATCTCCTTATTTCTGGGTGAGTGACCATTATTAGCATGTAGTGTGAGGTTGTCAGTTTATCATTTCTTAGAACTAAATTAATTGACATGGTCTTTTCATCATGAGAGTGTGCTTATATTATTTACCGGGGGTGCCAAAAAAATGTATACAAGTGAACACTTTGGTCAACGTTGCTCAGGCAGTAGTTTGCCATAATCAGAAGTGTTTTGATGCTAACGGTAGCCACTTTGAGCACCTCCTATAATTGCAAAAGTTAAATGTGACTTGTATCCATCTTTTGTTATCAATATGTATTGAGTATTACAATTTTAATAGTTTTCTTTTCTTAAAATGTGTATACATTTTTTGGCACTCTCTGTATAGTAAAGTTGTTGATATAAAATCAATATACAAAAATTCATTGCATTCCTATATACTAGCAATAAAATTTCAGAAAAAGAAATAAAATTAAAAAAACCAGTTATTTTTGCAACAATAAGAATAAAATACCTAGGAATAAACTTAACAAAGGATATGAAGGGCTTATACACTGAAAACCACAAGACATTATTAACAGAAATTGAATAAGACACAAAGAAATGGGAAGATGTTTCATGTTCATGGATTGAAAGCATCAACACAGTTAAAATGGCCATATTACCCAAAGCAATATACAGATTTAACGCAATCCCCATGAAAATACTAATGACATCTTTTAAAGAAATAGAGCAAAAAAATCATCAGATTTATATGGAATCACAAAAGACCCCAAATAGCCAAAGTAATCCTGAAAAAACAAACAAACAAACAAAAAAACCAAGGCCAGAGGTATCACACTCCCTGAGTTTAAATTATACTACAAAGAGACAATAATTCAAAAAGCATTGCAGATGCTTTGGCAGAAAAACAGACTCTCAGACCAATGGAACAGAATTGAAAACCAAGAAATAAACCCAAAAATATGTGGGCAGATAATTTTCAAAAAAGGAGCCAAAAACATACAATGGAGAAAAGAAAGTCTTTTCAATAAATGGTGCTGGGAGAATTGGAAAGTCACATGCAAAAGAATGAAACTAGACTGCTGTCATCGTGTACCAAAATTAACTCAAAATGAATCAAAGACCTAAACATAACACCTGAAACAATAAATAGCATTGAAGAAAGCATAGATACTAAACTTATGGACCTTGGCTTCAGTCTGTTATTGGAGGTGTCACTTTTGACCCAGCAATCCCTCTTCTGGCTATCTACCCAAAAAATCTGAAAACGTTTATCTGTAAAGATACATGTACTCCTATGTTTATTGCAGCATTATTCATGTGAATAAGATTTGGAAACAACCAAAATGTCCTTTGATAGATGATTGGATAAAGAAAATGTGGTACATACATACAATGGAATATTACTTGGCTGTAAAGAAAGATGAAATACTGCTGTTTGCAGCAGTATGGATGGATTTTAAGATTATTCATGCTAAACAAAATAAGTCAGGCAGGAAACATCAAGAATCAGATGATTTTACTCATAAGTGGGATATAGAACTGAAAGCAACAAATTTTCAAGACAAACAAACAAAACTCACAGCCACAGACAATAGTTTAATGGTTACCAAAGGGTATGGGTGTGGGAAGATAGTAAATGAGGGTAAAGGGGGTCAAATATATAGTGACAGAGAGAGAACTGACTTTGGGTGATGAACACACAATGCAATATATAGATGATGTATTATAGAATTGTACACTTGAAACCTATATAATTTTTCTAATGTCACCCTAATAAATTTAATTTAAAAAATTTAAATAGAAACTCTTGAAAACAAAATGAGCTATAAAAGAAAAGACATATTCCTGGTTCTGCAAGCATCATTTAAGTAGTTCTATGAGGTCTGGCAATTAAGTTTGCAAACTCATCCTAGAAAAAGTGCTACATACCTCATTGCTGAATATCACTATGGTAACCTTCAAGTCATGAAGTACTCCCCCTGGGAAGCTATGCACTGACACCAGTGCCTAGTCCACCCTTCAAAGCATCTTTTTCTGAGATGGCCATCAGAGTTGTTGTCATATTACCCTTGATGTCCTGAATGTCATCAAAATGTCTTCCTTTCAATATTTCCTTTACCTTTGGGTAAAGAAAGGCAGGTAGAATTCACTAGTGAAGTCTTCTGGTCCCGGACTTTTGCTTTTGGGGAGGATTGGATAATTATTTTAATTTTCTTACTGTTGATCTGTCTGTTTAGATTTTCAAGTTCTTTGTGAGTCTAAGAATGTTTTATATTTCTTAGAACTTGTCCTTTTCTTTTAGGTTATTAAATCTTGTGCCATATAGTCTTTCATAGTATTCTTGTATGATTATTTGTATTTCTGTGGTAGCCATCATACCTTCTCTCTCATTTCTGGTTTTGTTTGTATCTTTTCTCTTTTTTCCTTAGTGAGTCTAGCCAGAGGCTTGTCAATTTTAATCTTTTCAAAGAACCAGCTCTTCGTTGCATTAATTTTTTCTATTGTCTTTTTGTTCTCTATTTCATTTAGTTCTGCTCTAATTTTTATCATTTCCTTCCTTTTGCTGACTTTGGGCTTCATTCGTTCTTCTTTTTCTAGCTCTTTAAGATGTAATGTTAGGTTATTTATTTGGGGTGTTTCTTGGTTCTTAAGATTGGCCTATAATGATATAAATTTCCCTCTTATTACCATTTTGCAGCATCCCCCAAATTTTGATATGTTGTATTTTTATTCTCATTTGTTTCTATGTATCTTTTGATCTCTCCTTTTATTTCTTATTTGACCCAGTCATTGTGTAGTAGCATGCTGTTTAATCTTCACATATTTGTGGGTTTTTCCACTTTCTTTTTGCACTTGATTTAGAATTTCAAAGCCTTTTGGTTGGAGAATATGCTTGGTATGACTTCAGTCTTCTTAAACTTGTAGAGACTAGTTTTGTGTCCCAACATGTGGCCTATCCTTGAGAATGTTCCATGTACATTAGAAAAGAATGTATCATCTGATATTCTGAGATGAAAGGCTATGTAAATGTTGATTATGTCCATTTGGTCTAATGTGTCATTTAAGGCTGATGTTTTCTTATTGATTTTCTGCTTGGATGATCTATCCATAGCTCTCAATGGAATATTTAGGTCCCCTACTATAATTGTGTTTTTGCCAGTTTCTCCCTTTAGTTCTGCTAGTAGTTGCTTTATATATTTTGGTGTTCCCCGATTGGGAGCATATATATTGATATGTGTTACGTCTTCTTGATGTATTGTCCTGTTTATCATTATGACATGTCCATCTTTGTCTCTTGTTATCATTTTTATCTTGAAGTCTATTTTGTCAGATATAAATATGGCTACCCCTGCTTTTCTATGGATGCCATTTGTTTGGAGTATTGTTTTCTACCCTTTCACCTTGAGTCTATATTTGTCCTTGCAATTGAGATGTGTCTCTTGAAGGCAGCAAAATGGTTGGGTTTTGTTGTTTGACCCAATCTGCTACTCTGTGTCTTTTTATTGGTGAGTTCAGACATTTAGCTAGGTTATTGATATATGAGGATTCCCTATTGCCGTTTTATCTTTTGTTTTCTTGTAGCTCAGTGTCTCCATTGTTTCTTTGCCCTTGTGTTTCTGTTATTTTAGTTGGTGATATTTTGTGATTTTTTTTTTCTCTGTTTTTTCTCTTTTTATGTTATATATATCAGTTCTGGGTGTTTGTTTCTTGTGGTTACCATTAAGTTTATGCAAAAGAAAGTTTCATATATATAATAGTCCTTTTTATTCTGCATGCATCTTTCTCCATTCCCTTTTGTAAATTCAGGCCTTTATTCTCTTTTATGCTTTTGTTGTTACAAATTATCCCTGTTCACACTGTGAGTTTCTAATTTTTTTTTTTTTAAGATTTTTATTGGGGAATTAGGGTATGGGTACAGCGCTGGGGAATTGGGGGAAGGGGAACAGACAAGTTGCTGTCCTTTTGTTCTTCAGTCTAGTTGTGGAGAACGTTGCTTC